TTGGGTTTGTCCTTGAAAATAGTATTTATTCACAACTGTATTATGTGTTTTCTTGCAATTTAGATTTGCAATCTTAAAGTCACACTCCTTGGTTAAAATGTTTTTCATAACTTAACTGTAACCCACATTATAAGAACCTTCTTGATCTTACTTGGCTAAACAGGTTCTTATATTTTTGGGTATTGCAATAACATATTTCTGCCAGCAGGATCTTAAACCACTAGGTTCCTACACGCGGGTTTTTACTGTATGTTAAGTAGCTTGTCTTGTTGTTTTACTGCAAAGAAAGTTGTTTGAGGCATTACTCTGTAGAACATCCACGCACTATAAGATTTAAGCAATATCTTCCACCATTTGTGCTCATGCTGCAACAAACATTGGGAGCAGTGTAACACCCTGCACGTGACATGTCTTCTTCAGCATTACAAGACAACTTGCATAAAGTATTGTGTATTACGACACTTCTTAAAGACCAATGCAATACTTTCAGCACTTTTTTTGTTCTACATTAACTGGTTTTCAGGAGCGCGGTGTTGGTGACTGGGATGTTGGCTTGGGACGAATCCTGTTAGCTGCTAAAGAGAAGGTATGGAGTTTAAATGTTGATCGCCATGTTCGCAATCTGCCACTGAAAAGGTTGCAATATTTGTTTCTTAGACAGGTTTGCCGAAACAACTTTCCGTAATTAACTGGACACCTCTCTTAATCGGACAACTTTTTTCAGGTCCCGAGGTTGTCCACTTACAGAGGGTTTGACTTTTTAACAATAAAAGACCCTCCAACAACAATATGACGTTTTCGTATAAATTTTTGTTTCAAAGTATGCCATATATTTTTTCTCATTCCCAGAATGAAAGCGAATTTAGACATCAACTGAGAATAGTTCGCAGTCAACAAATGGGATTCCTGTCTGCAGCCAGCATGGAGTCTGGTTCCTACCAACGAGGATATGAACACATTGTTAGGTAAACAGCGAGTATCAAAAATTTCAAATAGATAGTACAATGATAACAAAATGCCTTTTTCGTGTATTCCAATTTTGTAGACGGCACTCTAACGTGGTTTTTTTGCCTTGTACTCCTATTAAAAATGTCTCTCTGTCTCTATAAGTGATATGTTATAGCGTCCTTCTATCGACATCTTTTAGAAAAACAAACACTTCTTTAGTTAAGGATAGCTTGTTAACGCTCAGTTGTATTTGCATCTATGCGGTGTTGAATAAACTTCAGGCCAAACAATATTCTCGGTGTATCTTGAAAGTGGTTTTTTGTTCTATACTTGGTTTCATGTTTGGTGCGCTGTGAAAATGAGCTAGGATACAGAGTGCAGTGCCCCCTATCAGATGTCAAATTAAGTTTAATTACAGCTATAGTGCAACTCTGAGCCCGTGATTATAAGACCAAGACCCTATCTCTGGGATCCGTGATATCTATGCTTCGATTTCCGTGTTGTTCAGTTGTAAACTGCAATATAACAATACAAGTTTTTGCACCATGCTAACTCTGTTTTTCTATTGCTTTTTGGCCTCAAGGCTTCACATGCTTCGTGAACTGGAAGAAGCTGTACAAAGGAAGTTTCATATGCCATCTGATGTTTCTGATACCACGGGTGTGGCTTATGACTGGGAGTCACGTTTACACATCTCACAGGTTTGGGACAACGTTGTGTGTGCAATGATTTGGATTATATTTAACTTGATTTTTTCCCTTCTAAAACCAGTAAGATATTGTAGAGGTAATATGTTCAAACACGAGAAACCGGTTTTTAGCACATTTCCTAACACCGAGAGGTGAGTCGAAAATAGGACACGTAGCGGAGTATTCTTGTCTAGCCAGGAGGTGTTGAAACACTTTTTCGAGTGTTTGATATATCTTCTGAATTAAAACTGACACTAAGCAGAAAATGGAGAAACAGAATTAAAATTAAGATCGCATATCCAAACTCCGTTAAACTTAAACTTGTTTAAACTTGAATTATGAATTATCAACGAGTTTGAGAATTGTCCTTCATGTCCTCCATGCATTGATGTTTGGTGTTGGCGAATGTGATGATTGTCCCCATCTGATAATTTCCGTTCAACAAATTGCAGCCATCATTCCGCACAAGGGAGCCAATCTTAAACTTGAGACGAGTTGTCTTGAAACTATTACCAAGGTAAATGTTTTTTGGTTTTTATAGAAAGCTTTGTCATAGTCGTCAATTAGTGTGATGTAATTTTACTCACTCAGGTTGTCGATGTTTAGTTTACTGACATACCTCAGATATCAGGTTTCTGAACGTGATTAGCGAAACGTTACGAAGATTGTCGGGAGAAGTCTAAATGTCAAATCAAGTCGGAAAACTCTAAATTGAAGTGTCGCCATGTTCTGAAGGTACCTGACTCGTGAAATTTCACTGCCTTGGTTGACCCTCTTTTGGAGGTTCAGGGATTATATAATGTCTAGTAACTATTTAGTGGCTCATGCACAAATTCATAATGTTGTCATCTGTCTTCAATGAAGATTGGTTTGATCAGCATTGGTTTAGCAGATCCTATGATTCTCGTGCAGTTTGTCTTTGTAGAGTTTCTCTGCTACTTGCCAGATGGCTGTTGTCTTAAAGGAGCTCAGTCACAGCATTTTGAGTTATTTTGGCCACGTACAAAATTACCCTTAAATGGTAGGAAACCTGAAAATAACAGTTTAATAAGGTAGAAAAACACCAAAGACATAATGATAAACCATAAAGGAACAAGGATGGCTAAGGATGGAGAGGATTGACACGGATTACAAACGAAGAATTTGAAAAATTGAGGCTAAACTTTTCAGTATGCACAAACCGTGACCGAGCTCCTTTAAACTAAGAAATGTTTATGACCAAATATTGTTTTCAGTATACTTAAATTACCATTCTTACTTTAAAATGCCTTTAGCTCAGACGAGTTGCAGAAAGAACAAGGAAAGAGCTGGCTGCAAAGTGCCAAGGCAGCTAGAGTGTAAGAATTTTTTATTTCTATTTGTTTCCTTTTAGTAGATAGCATGCATCGATAACAGTAACGCATTTGAAACCTAATACCTCATTGCCCCCTTTGGCCCTTGCATGTACCTCTGGTATCTGCCACACGATGCGGCTAGGAGTAGTTCTACTCCCCCTTTATATGATGCAAGTCCATCACAGATTATTCCTCAGAATTCCGGCATCATACTAGCTATTAGGCTCCGCGCCGGTACTGCGCCTGAAACGTAACAAATTTGGTCCTATTTCAGTAGGGTACAAAATTCATGTTTCAAAATTCATGTAATAAGTGAAAGGAAACTACATGTATGACGTTTTAAACTCATCTTGACTCCATTATCAAGTAGAGATGTTGATTTTAGTGTGAAAGGTGTATGAATATATTGAAGTATATCATGTTTAACTCTCCCGACTTAACAAACAGCAATGTCCGCGTCATAATGTTCTACTATGTTTCCTGAAAACCCTGTTATATGCCCTAACAGATAGACATGTCATTAAATTCAATGCAGTACATTTATGGCACATCTGCTGACCAATTTTGCCCTGCTTTCCCCTTAAATCGGATGCATTGTCCATCTATGTTGTTAGATGAATGAAGAGCTGTCACGACCCTCTCGGCTGTTACAGTGTGGGCTTGAGTTGACAGCAGTGGAAACGTTTAATTGATCACATGTTCTTTTCTTACCTTCAGTGCTGGTCACGTTCAAACAGCCGACAGTTCACTTCTTAGTGCCAGTGCCTTCTCTCTGCCAAGTTTGTGCATTGAACGCGCCAAATGGATGGCAAGTCAGGTAATACATCAAATGAGTCCTTTTTACCAGAGAGGTTATTCTCTGCATATTGCTGGAGTGCAAAGCCGTCCCTTGCTCCCGTCCAAAAATGGAAGGGAAGTTCACAAAACACTAACAAGTCAAGAATCAGTCAATCCGATGCAGAGACGTGGTGTTGTGGAATTTGGCTTTCAATTGTTCCAGCTATAGAATGATGTTCTTTCTAATATTCGTTTTGCTTTGCTTTGGCACAGGGTGATGTTCACCAGGCATTGATAAGTTTGCAAAGAGCAGTCAGGTGAGTGTCGTGTAAGATGTTCATCTTTGCCCAGAGGGTTGTCACAGGTCAATAAAAAATTCCTCAAGGTCAGGGGAAAAGCCAAAAAAAGGTACGAACTAAACCTATTTTACGTGTTATATCTTTGCAGTGAACAGTGGCCTGATGGAAGTAGCACTGTGTCAGATGGTGAAGCAGACAGATTTATTCACGCAAAGGTTAGTGATTTTCTGAAAGTCAGGACAACCTGGGCATTATAAAGATGTCTCTGCGACGAGTGAAAATTGAAGTAATTGGGACAGCGAGTCTTTAACTTTGCTTCAATTTGTTAAAAGTAATAATACGATGGTTGACTTATCCTTACTACAGATAACAATCTATTCTACTTCATCGAGGTAAACGTCCGTTCATAAAAAATAATGATGACTGGTGCATTTACCCATCACTCTTAGCAAATGAGAACTTTAACAATTCTTATAAAAACGTACAGAAAAGTTGTAAAACCTTCAAACCTAACTTAAACAATGTCGTTAGCACAGGGATAAATATTGCAAAAATATGGCTTTCCTTGTACTTTATGGGCGATGTCTCACATGGTAAGTCTCGCATGGTGTCGTGGTAAAATGTACAGCCGCCATCTTTTTTCCCACAGAAGACTGTGACGCTTTTTAAATCACAATATTAGAAAAACAATTAAAACACTGTCGATTGTTCACCTAGATATATGCTATATAAGTTTTTGTGTGTGCTTTGTAAATCAGGCCTTGTTACTCATCGGTCGATGGATGGAGGAGACAGCACATTATGCAGCTAACCGAGCCATTCAGCAATACAAGGTAAAGTGTTATCTTTGTATTTTGTAGACATGATAATAGATGCGAATGCAGCTATAACACTACTGGAAAAATGACCTGGAAAAATGTTTAGGCGTTGAACGGGATTTGAACCCAAGACCTTTGCGATACCGGTGCAATACTCACCCAACTGAGCTATCTAAGCCACATGAGAGCTGTCGTGTGTGGGTTGGCCCTTTATGTTCAGTGGAAGTGATACTCGGCTCAAGTATGTAAATTCCATAGTAATAGATGTCCAACAGTAGCAATTAAATGTAGACATGATGATAGATGCAAGAGCATCGATCATCTCAGTTGGGAGAGCATTGCACCGGTATCGCCGGTATCGGTAATGCCTGCTTCCTAACTGAGAAAAAAAACGAAGAATGTAGCAGAAAATCTTCAGATCAGCGGTAAACATGACACTTCTTGTGATCGGCTAACCCTGATGAAAGGTCCGTTTTTGCGGTTTTGAACGTCAATGCTGATATAACGCATGTGCTCAAATATCTTGAGGGGAGGAGGGGCGCGGTTAGAGGTTTGCTCGGATGGGTAGGAATGGTCCCAGAACAACGTTCCTTGACTACTAATACGAATTCAAAGTAACAACAACATAAACATAGTGATGAATTACCAACAGAGGTATTAGGCCTTTCTAAGGGGAGAGGAGGAGAGGAAATGGTGACAGGAGAGGACAGAGAGGGAGACATGACGACACAAAGACTCTCATTGGTTCACTTCGAGCTCCAAGTCGACCTGACCATTTCAGTGATTAAATAACACATAGCCTAAATAACTCTTACTTTACACCGTTAGCCAAAGTGCTTGCTAATGTAATTAATTTTTACCTTGATTTTAAGATTTTTCTCTACTTGTCTCGTCTTCCCGGAGGTTCTACTGTTGTTCTTTGTGCAATGTTTGTTTGTTTTTCTCGTGATGCCCACTGGGTAGCATGGCAAAGAAAAGTCCATTCTCGAACATGTTCTCCGATGTTTAATGATAGGAAGTGACTACTCTTCATGGAGACTGGGAAAATGGACATTTCTATTTAGGAAAATACTATGACAAACTGATGGCAGCTTGCACAGATGGAGAGGAGAAATCCAACACGTTATCTATGTGAGTACATGCAGTGTATGCCTTTTGGGCAAATCGTGTTGTTTATTCCACAATGTCTTACTTTTGTCCTTGAAGTGCTCTTCACAGAACAAACGCCTGGTCCTTCTGGTTTTCTATTCGATATTATCTTGTTGAACGTAAAGCTGATAAAATACCTATCACTTTTTTTTTGTTGTAAAAAATGTGGAACAGAGTACAGTATCTTTGTTCTTCATCTTCTTACTGCATGTAAATTACCCTCCTCCAACATTTAGCACGGTATAATATACTGGTCAGCATTTCTTATGTCAAGGATCACAAAAATATTTCTTTTTAACATCATTTTGGTGCTCAAGAAATGGTGATCAACACCAAATGTACTCGCATCATAAATTGGATAAGTATGGATGGTATATTAGTTATTTGCCAAAGTTTTTCCTATCTTGACTTTATTTTCTTGTCAGCTTTACGATAAGCACGTTTCTGGTTTTGTTATGACACAATCGTGTGTAAACCTGAAAAGTAGACTTTTACTTTAGCTCCATTCAAAAGTGTCATTGCCTGACCTAATCCCATCTAACTCCATGTGTTGACCTCAACCGTACACACTTTGGCTTCTCTAATAGACAACCCCTTATTCAACCGGTTCTTTCCATTATGATCTTTCCAGGGACTTCATTCCGTTTGTTCTAAAGCATTATGGACAATCTCTTCAGTTTGGTAACAAGTTTATTTATCAGTCTATGCCTCGTCTTCTCACTATTTGGCTGGACTTTGGTGCCACAGTCTCTGATCAAGGTAATGTGACAGACAGACGGTGTTGTATCACATTTTCAAACATTGAGAATGGAGTTGGCAATGCGCAGCGGAGTACTTTTGAAGAAATTCAAGTTGTTTTGAAATGTGATACATCCTTTCACAAACCGAGAAGCAAACGGAGACTGAAAATCGTAAAAAAATCTATGCTGATTTAAATCCGATTTCCAAATCACCGTCAAGGTTACTTTGTCCATTTATTATATGGCTAGCTCTGTGAGCGGGCAAGATGAATCAAATCCNTCAACTGTACGCGGAAATTAGGACTGCGAATTACTTTACTTTACTTTCACTTTAGTATTTGGGCAAAGTAACCTGCAAATGTTAGAATTGGGTTTACTGACATCTCATTTCAATACCAGTATTAAGGGATAGAGTAACACACTGAATATTTGCAAAATGTAAGCACTTCTACAACGTACCACATGTTTAGAGCTGGACATCTGATATCACGTGATTACTTTTTGGACCTTTGCTTTTTTAAAAGCTTTAATACAGAGTTTTTCAAAGTTGCTGAAGTCAAAAATTGCAGCTGGTGCCCTCTTAGTTTTACAAATCTGCTTTTCACTTCTTGTAAGAAGTAACTTTGAACTTACTACATGGGTTTGTCTGCGTCATAGATTATGGCAGAATTGACCAATAAACTACCAGCATACCAGTTCCTCACGGCCTTCTCCTTGCTCATTTCTCGTATATGTCACGCCAACCAGACTGTCTTCCATCATCTTGAGGTACCGTCACGCTAGTATAATATGCATGTTGTACTTAGCAAAATGAATAGTAAGGAACCTGTCTTCTGATTTGTTGGTTGGTAAGTTTGTTAATGACAAGTTCGGCTACACCTGCATACTGTAGCTTGTTAATGCTTGGCTACTGTAATTCAGTTCGTGGGACACCAGATTGCAGAATGAAGGTAGTGGGTCTTAACCCACCTGGACTAACACTCCAGAGTAATTTAACTGAAGAAGGCGCTTACTTGGGTCATTTTCTGTGGCTCTACTATTTAGCTTTTTCACAAGGTGTCATCGCATTTATGTTTTAAAGAATGTCATCTCTTTTGGAAAATGAAGTACTTTGGATGAATGTTCACTGCATTCTGCGGAGGGCTATGAAACGATGATCTACAGAAATGCACTTTTAGAATTAAATGCAGCACGTTTTAATTGATGGGAACTTTGTCTACTGTTTAGGAAATCATTGCTAAACTCTTGGTGACTTACCCACAGCAGGCAATGTGGATGATCATGGCTGTTTCCAAGGTAACTAAGCACTGCGAACTTAATGTTAAAACTGTTGGGAAACACTACGCGGCGAGACTAAAAAGGTACTGCTGACAATCTAACGTGAGCAAATGCATCTGATTGGCTAAGGAGACAACATATTTACCCTGAATGGTTAGAGTATGCATTAAGAGAACATGTCTACACAAGACTACGAGTAGTCCTTCTTTCGCCTAGACTATCATGCTTTTCGCGAAAGAAAACTGCGAGAAAAAAATGGCCACGCGAAATCCTTCCGTGAGCTTCTCCCCCCACCGCCCACCGCCAGGATTTCGCGCGGCCATTTTTTCCTCGCGGTTTATTTACTGTCACGCTCTACAGACTAAGCGAAAGAAAGACAACTCGTGGTCTAGTCAACGTAGTCAGTTTAAAAAAATTACTGCATAAAGTTATTCTTGTGAAATATTAAGTTACTATAAGACAATGTGCAATCAGTGTGATGTTTTTCTCTTTACGCAGTCATCGTTTGCCATGCGAAAGAATCGTTGCCACCAAATCTTTCAGAAGGCAAGGTGAGTTGAGTATCAGTTACAATCCAGGTTTTTGTTCTAAACAGACGTCAAATAATGTAAATTTTATTCAGACCAGTTTTTCGTGCACATTTGACTAGAAAAGAAGTTAGAGGCAGTTTTGTGAAGATCGCTTCAACGTAACTTGCAGCGTCCTATTTGTCTTAAATTTTGGTAACCTCCGGTCAAGGTGCGAACCCGGACCAATCGGTCTTGAGTTCAACACAATGACTATTAGACCACGTTTATGACGAGAAGCGTTAACTTCGCATGGGTTTTATCTTCCCTTTAGCAAAATACTTGGAGAGAGCAGATGGCCTACCAATCGATGATCTAACAGCCTTTCTATTGTTTCTTTTTTTTAACTTCAGCTCGCGAGATGTCAAACTGAAAAAGTTTCTTGAGGTGAGTTTATTTCATTGTTTTGAGCTTCTTGTTACAGTTTCTTTTTATTGTATTTGCGTTCCGCAGTTTCGATGTCTTTTCTCAGTGAGAGCTACAAGGCCCCCAGCATTTCTGAACATTATGGATAGAGGACATGAGTTTCATTTTTCGTGACTGCATTACTTTCACCAAACACTTTCTTCTAGTTGTTGTTGTGTTGGAAGGTTGCGTAACAAAACACGTACAGTGTATTGCAATTGGGGATTGATTGCAACTTTACGAACAAATGTCCTTTACCGTCGTTCAACCCCTTGACAATGGTTTTGGTCAACATACAGCACTCTTTTGGACGCCTTTTGATCTTAGTTTAAACAACCTTTGTTAAGTGCTTGTCCTGTACTAACAAATGTCTCCAAGCGTTTGTTTAGGCACGATTTCCGCCGCTCTTTCGGGTCTGGTCCTCGTAGGTGGGATGAGCACGAGGTCATTTCCCGAACAGCTGCTGGTAATAGAGCCTAACGTTTGTTCAGTTTATTGACCCAGTGTTTCGTGCGTTCTGCCTTTTTCCTTGTCATAGCATTCCACCAGGTTGACTGACAGACTACTTGAAGTATGCAACAAGGAAGTACCTAAGGGTGCTTCAAAACACACGCTGAGCATGAGCCATGACTTCTCTGTACTCAAGAGACTTGTTTCTGATGAGTAAGTTGTGCACTTCTTTATGTTCATGTTCAAAATATCAATTCTCCTTACTGATTCAATACTTTTCTTTAGTTTTTACTTCTGAGAATTTTATGGTACATCAAAGCAGCATCACCAAGTCGAGTCAAGGTACTAATCCTGATGTAAAAAAATCCCCTCGAGAATGGAAACTTGAAATTTGCCGCTCTATTTTCAACTTGCTTATGTCTTCGAATTCCAGATAATTTGTTCTCTGAGCGTTTTCATTTGAAATTTCCAACGCGGGAGGAGAAAAAGCCTCGTCCTTTTCTACTTCTTTACGTTGCAATTTACTGCATATAAGGATACTTGTCTCGCCACGTGTTGAAAATGTTCCTTTCCGTCCCCCGTAGAGCCGTTGTTTTAAACAACTATTGCAGCCTGACCCCTCTCCCAGAAGAGCTGACTATGTCAATCGCGTCATTAACGAAGATTTTGCATCTCGCGGTCGGAAAACTGACTTCGCGTCGGTTCTTTCAAACTTTTGTTCTAGAAACAAAACAGATTGATACCTGTCAACAAAAGAAGTGACCATAACAGGAATGTAAAAAGTGTGCCATTATCTAACCGCGATTTAAACCCAAAGTTTGATATGTTATTCTCAATTGTTTCATTTTTTACAGTGATTTTAGTCCTATACTAGTTCCTCTTCAGTCAGCCATGACTGTCACGCTGCCCTCAGGAGCCGGCAGTCATCAGGATCATAATCCATTCCCAGGATCCTTAGCGTGCATCGTAGGATTTGAAGACACGGTAAGTAATGTAAAGACATTGGTGTGTTACTTTACACTTCAGAGAGAGGAATATTACACCAACTCTTTATGGATGAAAAGTCAGGGACTAGGATTTGGGTAAGGTAGGATTTGGTACTGATGCTAAGCTTTGGAAGATAGGGCTCACCCTCGCCTAGATTGGATATTACAATCCATCACAGATTACAGATTACTTCCCCCCCTCCTGCCCCTCCAGTGCCTTTTGCCTTGATAGATCGCCGATATCCATATACACATCTTGATATGGGAGGCACTTTAGTGTCTTGCCATGGCTTGGTTCATTTTACCTGCCACGAATTTGTTCGAGTAACCCAAGAAAATGGGTGACGTTTCTTATCCCGTTTTCTGCCTAGCTTTTTTAAAATTTCTTCTTTTATTTATGTTTTTATAGGTGGATGTTCTGCAGTCTTTACAAAAACCGAAGAAAATCACCATCAAAGGCAGTGATGGAGTCTCCTACACCATGATGTGTAAACCCAAGGTAAGCTCACTGTCTCTGTTAACGAGGTGTAACTGGGATAGATATACTTCATGAGTGAATGTCATAAGTGCACTAAGTCATGCATTGCGTGTTGGTTATCTTGTTTGATGCACTTTACTGGCTTGAAAGTTACTTACATCAAGGAAATTTGGTTCAGAAACGGTGATATATGACTCGTTCTACTTACGACCTTCGCGCATATACCATGTAAGTAANAGCGAGGCTGGAGGTGACCTTGTTTTTACACAGACGTTACTTCTTTTCTTGTGTAAATCAAGTTGTTCTTCTGCTAACGAGTTGACATTTCAATAGGAAAGCAGAGGTCTGTATCAAAGCAAGGTCACCTCCAGCCTCGCTTGCATTCATAGGCCAGGTAACTAAGCATAAAACTGTAAAATTGTTTATTACTTTTGTCTCGTTCTAAATCCCCGCTCCCCTCGCGCGGACGCGTTATACCAAAGTCAGAGATGAGGCAATTCTTCTCGATACCAAAATATCTTACTTTTTTTTTCTTTTCACAGAGAGAAAAACATGTATACCCGAGGAACAGAGGTAAAGAAATTACTGGATAGAGCTGGAAGCAAACTTGAGTGAGTTTATTGTCTGTTTCAAACTAGAACGGGTTTCATTTGCGTATCGTACACCAAAGTTATCACTCTAACCAATCACAAAGGACACGGGCATTCCAGTAAACAAATCAAAACTCGAGGTAAATACATGTCTCCGACGAAAAGCACGGGAAAACATGTACGAGAGAGTCGTGATTTGTTTTGGTTTTACTTCTGATTGGCTGACAAAGTGGCGTGATTTTGTTCGCCAATCGCTCAGCCTCGCAAAGTAAAACCAAGGCAAATGCGAATCACTTTCGACACTTGAGTGAAAACTGCTCTATAAAACACCTAAGAGAGAGTCTGAGATTAAAGCGGAAAAATCCCATTGTGATGGAATGCATTCATCCAGTGTATCTGACTGATTGTTATTTCATGTCAGCCATTGATTCCACAATCACCTAAGCTTGGTAGCGCTACATAATCCGTATGGTATTTGTTTTGTTTTTTGGTTTTTTGGGGTTTTTTGTTCGAATGTCGGACATCTCGCGAAGGGCATGACACCAGTTCACCACTTGAGGGGTCTACTCTCAAAATCAATCGACTCATCCTAATTAATACTAGAAATATATGGATGTCAACCAAGGTTTTAAATCATCAAAACCCTTAGGCGGTTAATTTGCCAGATTTTAAAACGGAAAGACGTCTACACTTATTAACTGGCCAAAGAAAAATAATGGCTCATAGACTCTGGTCTGGGAATAGATAGGAATGGAGTAAACAAACCGATAACTTGCCCGGAGGATAAATCCCGGTATTCTCGGTCATGATATCATCATAACAATATAAACATGTCTAATCTTTTTTTTCTTTTCTTTTCTTTTTTTTTTTTTGCCTCAGGGAGAAAAAACGCGTCTTCTTGAACGAGATTCTTCCACGGTAAGTCTCAGTAATAAAGTCTGTGTTATAAATTTCTGTGCAGTCCACAACAATGTATCTGACAAGTCCAACGTTAGAAATATTGGATTTCTGACATTACTTTGTTGTCTTGGTATTTACAGGCATCCTTCTGTGTTTCACGAGTGGTTCTTGAAGACCTTTCCAAACCCAACTTCGTGGTAAGTTTCAACTCGTGGAAATCTTGAACCTGAAGTAAATCGTTTTCTTGGCCTCTTAAGAAGGAATCTGGGAAGCTGGTAATAAGATAAAATTAAGGGCCAAGGTTTCCAATTGTCTCGTAAGACAATGTAGGGAATTAAGTATCTGGTCAGGTAAATTCAGAAATTCCTGTCAAAGTGAGGGAATTTTACCTTAAAGTTATTGCAGGTTTCACTTGTGCTGATAAATGTCGTTGATAAAGACTGTCTGATTATAGTCAGCGCAGTCTTGCTGCAATAGCAAAATTAATACTTCTGTCTGTATGATCAGTGTTCTTATGGACAAGGAAAATTGTTTTCTAGTCAATAAAAAAGTGAGTGAGTCTTTGGTTGTTTTCTTGAGTGGAGGCAATCGATTTGATTTCAATTGACGTCAGTGTGTCTGTCTGTTCAGTATGCCTGTCTGTCTGTCTGCCTGCCTGCCTACGTGTCTCTATGTATGACGGTATGTCTGTATGCCTGTCTGCTGCCAGCCTTCCTTCCTGACATAATTCAGTGCCAGCTCCGTCTTGTGACTTTTGTTTTTTTCACAGGTACATGAGCCGTCTGGCATACTGCCGCACTTCAGCGGTTATGTGTATGGTGGGTCATATCCTTGGCCTGGGTGATCGTCATGGTGAGAATATCCTGTTTGATGCCACGTGTGGAGACTGTGTTCATGTGGACTTCAACTGCTTGTTCAAAAAGGTCAGTTGTCTTGCTGCTAGACAAGAGCAGGTTAGGTCTCGCGCCTCGAAGGAAACACCTCTATTTGATTGGACGAGAACGCATCACGCGACACACGTTGTAAATGCCTTAGGGAAATTCAGCTGGACATTGGACTTGCACGTGATCAGGTCGTGCGTCTTAAGATCGAGTCAAGTTGGTTTCCGCGTTACGTCGACCGGAACACTGTCGATTACAATTCAAAAACTGGCAATATAACAATTATAAATGATGTAAATGGCTACACTAAATCATTTGGTGATTGGCCTTATAGTTGTCAGAGGGTCTGGTCGCACACGTCCCCCCGCCCCCTTCATCCGTTATCACCAATGACAATCTCTGGAAATGAAAGACATGACTATTTCCCTGGGGCCACTTGCAGCATGTTTCGTGCGTTTATAATGACAGCCCTTTGCATTGTGGCCTAATGGGTTGAAGCGTTGGATTTGATGTTTTTGTAATATCTTTCTTACCATTTGCATACTGTAATTTGTTGTAGGGTGAAACCTTTGACTGTCCAGAGCAAGTTCCTTTTAGATTGACACATAACATCGTGAATGCTATGGTGAGTGGTACACGCTGAAAGAGCAACCATTTAGGGTGGAGAAGGGGGGTGGGGGAGGGGGGATTACGGCAGTCGTTACTGTTTCTAGGCAATAGGCCCTTTGCACGATCCGGTCACATGGTACAAAATCACACATGCTGGTGAGCAAGTTGCGCATTGGGACTTCCAAAACAAAGGCAGGTCCAGGTTCACTGGTACGAGATGCATTGTTTTGGAAGTCCCACTGGGCAACTTGCGCACCAGCATGTGTGATTTTGTACCATGTGACCGGATCGTGCAAAGGGCCTATTACTATCTAGCTGCAGACTCAGAAATTCACATTGCTCGATTCTTCATGTGTTCTGGACTAAAACAAACGTTAAAACTAACGTCAATCCGTATTAGGAATGACCCGAATTTAGATTTAACATGGTTTGCACCTTGGAGGAAATGACCATTTTCGGAAAAGAATAGATAAGTTTCGACCGCAAAATCGGGATTGAGATGGAGATTGAAAGCGACGCTCCCATTTAATTCCCTCAGCACTCTTCAAATGTTACAGCCAGAAAATTGTCGCCTCCCTAGTTGGTTTATCATTCTCTTGGCTTGCTCACCACAAAATGAAATAGTGGACATAGGCAAGCAGTTCAATCGAAACTTTCATCATTACTGAATTGAGTGTGAACATTGTCGAAGTAATACTTCGTTTGACGTATGTTTATGAAGTTCACTCCCAGGAACTGGGAAACCAATTGAGAAAAAAAAAACGACCAGGCAGTCGAACGCTTGAGTTCCCTAAAAGGTAATCACAAAAATGTTAATAGCTGATGGTGTTACTCTCTGTCGAACAAGTGTAGGCGCTTTGCAGCTTATGCTTAACTCTGTTTTATCCCCAGGGCCCGCTTGGTTGTGAAGGTGTTTTTCGTCGATCTTGTGAAGTAACCTTGAGGCTGTTAAGGAACCAGTGTGATTCGTTACTAACGTGAGTTAGCCATTTCGTCAATTGCTTTTGTGCGGTGGGCATTCATTGGCACTCGAGTTATTTTGTATTATTATTATTTTTTTATGGAACTTTCTACACACTATGCTTTCCAATACAATACAAAACAGTACAAAACGTTACTTACAGTGCATTACATTACGGTACCTAGTTACCATATACGCTACATTACAAATATCGCTGACATTGCTCACGTTGCTTTATGTTACAAAAACACTTTCCTATCCAACTTTGTTGTTCAGATTAGTAACAAATATTAAACATCTAAATATTTCAGCTGACAATAAAAGGGAAAAAAAGGGAAAAGTACAACAAAGAAAAAACGAGAAAAAAACAGTGCGAAAACAAAACAAAGACAGTGTAAAGGAAAGAACTGCCTAGAAGGAGGCAGCTTGGGAGAGTGGTTTAGGGCGCTGGTGTTGTAATCCGGAGGTCCCGGGTTCAAGTCCTCCACCCTGCCACTAACGGGATTTGTTTCTCGGTAGTCCCGAGTTCAAATCCTCGGTCACGCTAACTGGTCTGCCTCCTGCCAGTTGCGATTTTTAACTATGTTCCGTTTATTTGAAATATTTGTTTCCTTTGTTTCAGTGGCATGCCTGTAAACTAACTAAGCTTAGTGCTTGTATTGCTAAGTGTATGACCATTATAAATAAGATTTACATTTTTACATGTACATCGTTCATTTGTGCTGGGGAGAAAAAGAAAATACTATATTTTTATAAATATGTCTACAATTGCCTCCTTTTCTAAATACCGTAGACTGCCGGTTACAAGCCCTGGGCTTATACAACTTCTTAAGGGATTTTAGATGGGCTTATAAAAGGAGGGGCTTATATCCGAGGGGGCTCATAACCGGAATAAAACAACCGTTTAGAAGCGAGCTATAGCTGCACATGTTGACCAAAATAGGTTTTTCAATTACGCTTTAAATAATTAAGATTTAAAACAACACAATAAAACGAATTCAAAACAAGAAAAGCTAGAGAGGGACTTATATCCGAGGGGTTATAACCGGATGTAATTTTTGGTTACAGGTCAACGGGCCTCTAACTGGGGGGTGGGTGGGTGGGGGGTTTATAAGCGGCAGTTTACTTATATTAAAGATGTAACCAAAAAAAAAAAAGACAGATTGCACTCGAGTTATGTTAAAACGCATCGCCCGACCAATCAGAGAGTTGAATACGTGTATGTTGTTGCATTGGTCTGATGCCATGAAGTGTTTTCGTTTTGTTTGTCAGTGTTTTGCGAACGTTCATTTACGATCCTCTTGTGGAATGGCAGAGGACTAAAGGAAGGGAATTACTTGCTGAGGCGTCCAAGAACAAGGAAACAGGCGAAGTTACGAACGAAGAGGCGAGTGTTCTTATTGGTATAACACGATTTTGTTATGACCTTGGAACGATGACGCATGAACATGAACAAACCAAGAAATAAACTAAAACGAAGCAATTTAATTGGTCGGCGAATGGAACCAAACATGTTCGACCACTTGGTTGGTTTAGTAGACACGCAATGCATTGTGAGTAGGCGCCTCTGATTACGTCACTCGCTTTTCAGCATTTTGATAGGTCAATGGAACAATGGCGACTCAATATTGAGGAGTTATTAGTACAAAACGCAGATGCCTTTTAGTGAATCTCTGAGCTAGTAAGGTCATAGGAAAGTCGCTTTACTGGTGAATTCCGCGAAAGTGTGATTAATGTGATATTCCATATTAGGACAGAGAGTGCATCACATCAAAGAGCTGTAAAGCACGACAGGTAAAAGCGCGCAAAATTGACGTGCGAATAGGGTAGATATCCAATTACAAAAAGTTGTAATTGGACACCCACGTGATCCTAGCTTTTAGCACAACATTAATAATCAGTAAATCTGAATCTTTAGAGTAAATTGGTTTTTTTTTCTTTTTTTTCTTTTTTTTCAATTTTGTAGGGTGTTAAAATCCTGAAGGACATTGAAAAGCGAATCCAAGGTTTTGAAGGCAACAATAGGATCAGGATTCCTCTGTCGATTGAAGGACAAGTTCATTATCTTATCAATGTAAGTTTGGTAATGACGCACCAGGCCCCGGTTGTTCCTTTTACATTAAAGCGGCTTGTAAGCGACGATTTCTACCTCTGAGAGCGGAAATGTTGAAATTTCTTGCTCCCCCCTCGTCGTATAAACATTTTGCGGATCGCCGAACAGCGGTCCGTCCGTGCTGTGAAAACCGCAGGAAAACCGGACGCGGTATGGCTTGTCCGTGAGAGAGTAGTAACATCTATGTTGGAAAAGTCGTCAGGTAGCCCGAATTGCTTTTCTTTCCTTACTGGGCCTGGCATTAAAGCAAAATCAACAAACTGTAAGTCCGCCATTTTGATTTGCTCGTCTGCTTTTTCATTCGATTAGCGAGTCAATCCACCTGGCTAGGTGTGTTAAATTTAACCTTGAGTTTAATCCTTGGATAGTGCTAATCGAGCTTCGAAGAACAGAATCTAATCGAAGGATAAATTTATTCCGTGACCCCCCCTCCTGCCCCTCCAGTGCCTTTTGCCTTGATAGATCGCCGATATCCATATACACATCTTGATATGGGAGGCACTTTAGTGTCTTGCCATGGCTTGGTTCATTTTACCTGCCACGAATTTGTTCGAGTAACCCAAGAAAATGGGTGACGTTTCTTATCCCGTTTTCTGCCTAGCTTTTTTAAAATTTCTTCTTTTATTTATGTTTTTATAGGTGGATGTTCTGCAGTCTTTACAAAAACCGAAGAAAATCACCATCAAAGGCAGTGATGGAGTCTCCTACACCATGATGTGTAAACCCAAGGTAAGCTCACTGTCTCTGTTAACGAGGTGTAACTGGGATAGATATACTTCATGAGTGAATGTCATAAGTGCACTAAGTCATGCATTGCGTGTTGGTTATCTTGTTTGATGCACTTTACTGGCTTGAAAGTTACTTACATCAAGGAAATTTGGTTCAGAAACGGTGATATATGACTCGTTCTACTTACGACCTTCGCGCATATACCATGTAAGTAAATACTAATAATCAGTTTATTATACTAATAATTAGTATTAAATCAGTATATACAGTATATGCCCTCTAAGTAAAGTTTGTCTTCGCTTACCAGACTGGCGTGTAATCTTGGTTTCGTTGCATAACGTGACTTGGAGTAATAAATAAAACACGAAAGACCGTGTTTGACCACATTTCCAAATGCCGAAAAGAGAGTTGAAAATACGACGTGCAGTAGAATATTTTTGACGAACCACAAGATGTTTGGAAATGTGGTTAAACACTGCAGGGGGAAAAGTGGAGAGCTAAGATCGTAAAAATATCTATGCTAATTAAGATCACATATCTAAACACCATTACGAGTATGGTTTCCTTTGTTTAACTTTGTTACACCCTTGGGTGGGGTGCTAGTCTATAACTTGGCTACCCTTTGAAGAGCAGTTTTTTCCCATGTATACCTCCTGGGTAGATAAAGGCACTTTGGGAGCAAAGTGCCTTGTCCAAGAGCACAACACAAAACATCTGGGCCAGGGCTCAACTCGGAGCTTTCAATCCTGAATTTGACCAACGAAGTATCAGTTGCGTGATGAACAAACATCGCACACACCCACCAAGAGAATTAACAGCACAATTTGGGAATCGTCTTGTTTCCTTGTTACATTCTCTTATAGGATGATCTCCGCAAGGATTGTAGAACGATGGAGTTTAACGCTCTCGTTAACAAGGTTTGATAAATGATTCAGCTTAAATTATATTAGCAATAGGTGTTGTCTGCCCAGGGTAAGATATGAGTTGACTAAATTAAGAGCTACGCATCGTCCTTTCTTGATTTTGATTTTCTTAATCCATGCATTTGAGCCTTGACGAGCCTTAGAGAGAGCCTC